TTTTGGGGACACAGCAGATGGAGTGCAGGGCACTGTGGGATATGCCATTTATCACAATGACAGTGCGTAGGTAGCACTGATCCTCTCACCACAGGGGGAAGCTAGAGCTGCAAATGCAGAGCAGCATTAAAAGCCCGACGAGTGGAGTTTGGCAACACTTGTACTACTCATTAACTTAATCATATTAATTTATTAGCCATATATATCAAAGTAATTCACTGCTGAATTGTCACCAAGAACAATTTATAAACTGTTAACGCTCCCCATTGGCAGGGAAGTGCTGCAGTATCCTTAACCAGTATGTTTGCCTCCGATTAAAAATAATAATTTCTACCAAGCCAGGTAATGCCAACAATGACAAAGTTGTACATATGTTTCTCATTATAAATGGAACTTTAAAGTGACATCTACGACAACTGAAAAAAAAAAAAAAGATTATGGTAGACAGTGAAATGAGCTGCAGAAATAGTAGTAAACATACAAAAATGCTCAGAGAAGTATTTTGATAAAGTAAAAGGTTCCCCTTAGCTTTCTGATCATCTGCTCTCAGAGGTTCTAGGACTGCTGCCAGCCACAGCAGCCCTACATCTAACACCTCAAGAGGTGAAATCAATCCATAAATTTTCTGTTAAGTGACCCTGAATGAATGTTTATTCTTCAAGTAACTTTCTTAAGAACACAGACACCCTCAGAACCTGGTTTTGGCACTGCTGGTCTCTGAGCACGTGGAACAGATTTGCTGCTTTCAGTCCCACTGCACCTGTCCTAAGGGACACCCCTGCTGCCCTGCTCCTCAACCCGAGACACATCTCCCAGTTCCACAGGCAGCACAGACTCACAGGCACTATGGCTGCACTCATTTCAGGAAAAAAAAACAAGGAGGAGACCCATGGAGCAGTGGCATGGAGGAGTTCCCACAGGTAGCAGGGCTCTGTTGCACGGCCACGTGCCCATTTCCATAACAAACAACTGGGAACCAGAGGTGTTAGAAGCCTCTGGCCTCCTCCACTCCTCTTAAACAGATGCAACCAATACACGTGCTCAAACACTACAGCAAATACTGCTGTATTCTCTCTGTTCCCTGGAAAGGCTGAGTGACTGCTAAAAAGCACTGCTGAATTGGAGTAATGCACAAAGTTACCGTAATCCTGTATGGTGTTTTTCTGTGTAAGTCCCACAGTGATGTTATTTGCCTTATCTACTACAATAGTAATTTCACTGAAATATCAGATCCTGAAACTATGCAGTTCACAACGTTCTTAACTATTTTTAAGTTAAAATTACACTGAAAAACTGTTCATGTCAGCACAAACAAGTCAACATTTTAATTATTGTTTCTTATAAACTCTAGACAAACAGCTATTCAGCTAAACAGTATCTGTTTTTATTTTATAGAAATAATAGTAGTGTTTCAACACATTGAATAGAGAAAAACCTGTAATGAAGACTTCATATAGTGCTTTTTTTAAACCTTTTTGGGTATCAGCAAGATTACAGGCAGAACAACTATGACAAGATCGAGCTACTCTAGCAGCTTCGCTCCGTATCAACAGTTTTCTGAACTGCTGATTTAAATAACATAATGGATTTCACTTTCTCTCCACACAGTAAACCACTGCTTCAGAGCCTAAAAGTTCCATCAGTAAGTCCCAACCATCTTGTTAAGATATACTGAAGACAAAGCCCTGTACATTAACAAAAAAAACCCCAAACGCTTTATCTCCTATTAATGTCACTTCATCACACTGCATTGTGTGAAGAAAAAGAAGAAAGCCTTTGATAACTGTCCCTCACTGACATATGGGATTTTTCCCTTGCCCTCACAGCAGGCAGGGGCACCACACTGATTTCGACATTTCCTACAATACAGGAAGCACAACACTTTCTCCTAAGCTAATGCAAAATGGACAGTACTCAAATATCAGCTCTTGGGCAGGGTCATTGTGCTGTTTGCTCAAGCCCTTCCCATCAGCATGCATCCTAGGCACGCTGCCTCATCGTTCTCAGTCACTGCAGGATAAGCCACCCTGCTGCTCCAGCCTCGTCCTCAAACATTCCCATTCCCCAAAGGCAGAAGGTAGCTGGAAGTGTTTGAAAACATAGGTGATTCACTTAAACTGCTTTCCCAATTTCTTGCATGAGAGTAGCTGTAGTCCTCTTTGCCAAGATGTAAAAAATTATACTCTGCACTGGGAAATGCAGTATGCCTAATTTAACTACCTGTTTATTATGTGAAAATGACCATGTAAACTGAACTGACACAAACCAAATGGGTGATGAAAATAACAGCACATTTCAAGGAACGGAAACGCAGATGGCTCACCCAAGTCTGCAGGAAGTTGCTAATCATCATTCTTGTAATACCCTCTACAGACAGATGTGTGAGTTCTATGGCCAGAACAGCAACTTCTTGAGACGTATCCATCTAACCAACAGCACGTATGGATAGAGACCACAGACTAAAGGGGAGGCAAAACTAGAATGTGAAATGGATGGATGAATCACGCTACATCTGCTAACATGGAGTCTGTTACCAAAATGAGTTATCTGAAGAATAAAACAGTTTTGATGGTAATTTGGTCCCATCTGAAAATGGCTTGATCACATAAAAAGAGAGAGTCTGATTTAATATTTTTTTTTAATATTGCAGGCAGATTAACATAACCATCTGCAAACCATACACAATTGAGATCCCAAATAAGTAAATTAACACTTGGCTGATACACAACACTTTAATATCCTTGCAACTTTTACTCTATTAACCACCACTCAGAAGCCTGGTATAAAAGCCTTCGTTCTTTAATAAGTGTTAAAATGTTTTTTGTTCTTAGCTCAGCCAAAAGGAAAGAATCCAACTGCAGAAGTGTTGAAAGCAACCAGAGGAAAGCAGACAGTAATTAAGTGAAAACAAATATAAATAAAGCTAATGGAGGCTTCATATCCCAGGTGCTCCGTCAAGTTTGCAACAGCTTAGATCCCCCACTGAGTTTACAAGTGGCTCTTTTGGCACCCTTCCTTACTCAGCACTTACCCCAACTTTCCCTGTGCTGCTTTTCTCTATGAACAAAACAAGACCAAAACTTCAGGGGCTCTGAGTCCTGAGACTACAGAGCCATTGGTGCAGAGCACCTGTGCCACAGGCTGGCTACAGGACGCTTCACCCTCAGGGATCCATCTCACCTGAGCACTCAACAACTGTGATGCTTTGGAATTGTGTGTTTTTTCTTCCTTGCAACTTAATAGCAGAACTCCCCTTCAGCTGCTTGAGGCACAGTGTGTGTGACTTCTGCCATTTGGTCACACAAAGGTTTTCACATACAGCTCACAAGGTCAGAAAGGCAGCCACCCTGGGCCTCAGCTGAAAGGGGAGCTTGGGGGCACCTGGGGGCAATCTCCTTACACAATATTCCACAAGTTAAATGAAGTGGGCTATGTCCCAGTCACCACTTCAGACTACAAAAAAAAAATTGAAGTCTAGAAATAACTACACTTTAAACATTTTTATTCACACACTGTAATACTTAATATATGTGAGATGCTGCGTCTAGATTCTATTTTACTGTGCAACACAGAGTTTGCCAAATATTTTCCAATTCAAAGAAACACTGTAATGTGCATTTAAAAAAAGGTGAAAAAGCACTACGCAATATTCCAGATTTCTCACAAGTAGGTGACTCTTGTGCTCTCCTGGCTATTGGTAATAATCCAAACAATTAAATACCCATGAAATTCCTGGGCTAAGTACATGACAGAGATACTAAAACTGTCAGTTGTTATTATAAGAGTAACATACAATTCCCAAACTCTGCTGCATGTATTTACAGTATGTGAAGTTGCACTTGTTTGACTGTGGCATCTGGCTGTACTAAAAGGCATTACATTAACTACTTCGGGTTTCTCCGACTATTGCTTGAGAATGTTTATTTCCATTTTCACAGAAAAAGGTTATTGGTTCTCTGTGAAATTGTCATGACACTTAAAGTTGTAGGAGGAATCAAAGTCCTCTGCTATGTCGCTCTCCTGGACACTGGGACTCACTGAGGCACTCAATCACTGCAACAGGTTTTGCAAGCAGAGACCACAGTCACTGCATTAGAAACAAACAATTCTATGATTGCTGTGAGCTGTTCTCTGCATTCTGCTAAAACCTTTAAGTTTGTTGTTAGAGATACAACATGTTCACACTGGACTTTGACAGTAATCCTAAAACTGCTAGGCCTCCTGAATATTTAAATAATTGCTGTGAGGAATATAGTCTGTCAATATAGCTGTACCCTCTTGATTTTATTAGCAAAATGAACTCGTCCGTCTTTGGGATACCATCAATTAAAAAAAAAAAACAAAAAACTTATCAAGATAGCTTAATTAGGGACTTAAGATTTTACTAATAAATAATGAAGTGAAATAAAACACCATGCATTACATTTTGAGTAGAGACTGCTTGTAATTTCATGTTTTTATGCTTCTTTTTATATCACGACATTTAATGTAGATTATTAAAATAGAATCTACTGTGGTAACATGAACTTATCTGCTTTCTGAGTGTTTCTTTTACATCTCGTAAAAGCATTTTGCTGTCTTCCCAGCATACATTAACAGTGTTACAACACAATACACATTAGCCACGCTGTTCATATCCCATGAGAACTAAAACACACATGCATTTGAAAGGAAGAAATGCATGCTACAGGGCTCTCTGAAACAATTGTTCATTTTCTCTTTTTTTTTTTTTTTTTTTCCCCTTTTACTAAAATAACATTTAATGGAATTTCCTGCAAGGAAATTACAATTAATAAAGAACTAAATTACAAATCCACTAGATTTCAGTCACTGCAGCAACAAACCAGAATTTTCATGAACACTCAAAAAAATCCAATAATGTAACCTCTGCTAAAGCTTGAAAAAGCCATGAAGGACAAGGCACTTAGATCAATATTAGTTTATTTTAACTGCGGTGCAGTATGAAGAGATGAGGCTGATCATCTGATGGATTTTATTACCTGTCGGAGAGATAAGGCCTGGTGATAAGAGGCCTGGAACTCCATGGGGCAGAAGACGTGCATTTTCCTGTATCGCAACTCCAAGTGAACGCTTTGGGGGTCTTCCTGGCCGTGAGCTGATGAAACAAGAAGATAAATGAAAATGCTTTTTATTTTTCAAATATTTGCTTACTATACATGATATATGTATAAAATACACAAACTATCAAAAATATGTGAGGTTATATTAGCAGTTCTTGCCTAGGAGGAAAAAAAACCTCAGTCAATTAAGCACACATTGCTTGATTGCTTAGATAGATACAATGCATAGATTTCAAATGAACTAACAATACATTGTCAAATAGCACCTGTAGTTAACACAGTTGTGAGCTCTACGTCACATAAATGATGAGAAAACTTTCATTTTACTTCCATTAAAACAGCAGAAACAAAACAATCCAGATTCTAGTCCTAACGTATCACTACCTTGCTAATTAATACGTGTTTCTCAGTACTCCTGCCTGCAAAACAGATCACAAGAGATTCACGTGCATGTTGGTAAAGTCTTGAAAATGCAACTAGATGCTTTACTCATCTCACAAATGGAGATTTTGGGGTAATGTAGATTAATGATGCAATGACTGGGGGGACACCAGAGCCATTCAGATTAGGTCCACCAGAATTTATTAGCTCCGGTTCAATTGAATGTAACCACCATTTACAGGCACTTCCACGGCAACTCAGCCTGCCTGGCTTCAGGGAGGCATACCCACATGCACCTCTACAATCCATGTACTAGCCAAGGGTTTCCCAGCTCCTACAGGTCACTAACAGAGAGAGATATCAGCAGTAACTGCTTCCCAGTCTGAGCCATGCACGTGCACCACACTGACTCAAATTTCAACACAATGCAATCTTTATTTTTACATTAACCGCCTTGTTCTGAATCATGGCAGCTAACAGACTATTTCTGAAGACTCAGCACTAATTTAATACTCAGCTTTTCCAAAACTGATTACTTCACAGACTGACTTGTGGTTTTGACTACCACACATAGGTTAAACCAAGTATGCCCAACCTGCCAAAAACTCCATCTCCAACCACCTTATTATGCCTGTGATTTTTAATCCAAAATGTTAAAGATCTGAATATTCATTTACAGTATCTATTTTTTAGCTATCGTGTTCATCTCTTAAATACGCCTGCATGAAATCATGCTATACAGCAACCATAATACAGATTTACAGAGCAAAGACCATTTGAATCAACTTTCCCAAGACAAATAATAAAAATATAACCTCCTAGTGTTTGCCAAAGTACTCCTGCTTCCCTTAGATCAAACAATCCCCTTAGATCAAAACAATTTTTACTTTGCTGAATAATAGAGCTCTTGACAAAATACAGTGAAGCACTGCATGAAGTAACTAAGCTGCAACAATGTATGAGGTTTGAATAGAGAGCATTTCCAAAATGACTTCAAGTCCGCAAAGACATTTCAGTTAAACCTCACTCCATCAACTTATAGTGCCAAAGCTCTCCATCAATGTAAGACAAACTCTGTGTTTAGATGAAGACAACTTCCAGCAACACTGCGCAGAGGTACCATTAACGTGTTCATTTTTCACACACTGTGCTAGTGCTATTTTGTTTTACTGTACATCAAGGTAGCACAAAATCATTTTTTCAGTTTATTATTTTCTCTCTAAATAACTATCCTGTCCTTTTTTTAGCTTCACGTTTGCCCATTTTGTGTTTCATCTTAGTTGGTGCATTTTCCATTTTACTTTGTTATGCTTTATCCTACTATGATGGCTTTAAAGTACGGCTTACTATGAAAGCCCAGATTCATGAGGCTTTAATAAGGTAAACCTAAAATAACAGCATGCAAATTTCACAGGAAGTTAGATGCACAAATGGATTATCTATTAAAAACACCTGCTGAATGGCCATCTACCGTACGCTATTAGGCCTGTACGTGGAGATGTGAAATAAAAATGAGTTGCTACAATTCCAATTTACACAAGTCTGTGCACACACATGAATCTCTCGGTGCTTAACTGGCACTTAATGCATTTGCAAAAAAATCACAAAAATAAAACACCAAAAATGAGCAGCTTTCTCCAACAGTTCAACCAACTACACCACAAAGTGTTCCCTTCTCAAGCTCAAATACTACAAAATATTTGCAACACTCTGTATGCTCATATAAGCTGTAACAAAAATCTTAAAAAAAAATAAACAAAGAAACAAACAAAAAAAATGAACATTTCTAAAAGAATTTATGAAGAAACATTTATGATTTATTATTTTTGATGTACCATAACCACGGTTTCTTCCTGGGAGGACAGCTCAAAGAAAGCACCTATTTGAATACAAGCATTTATAGTTTTTGGCTGAAAGAAAATTCTGGCATTTTTGTTTGAACACAAAGCAGAAATCTCAGAGATGGGATAAAAATGTTTGAAGGAAATCTTACTTCTAAATGCAAGATTTACACAAAGGAAACAAAAGCTTAGTGCATTAAAACATGCGATGCGCTTCATCTCCAACCGCGCTGCTGCTGGCGCTGGGCTGGCGCTGCCAAGCAATGAAACTCACTTGTCCGTCTGCACATTTCCACTGCCCACACAGTGCAACTTATCACCTTAGGAAGCCTGGAATTTCAATTCACGCTTTCTATTTAAAACATATCCGACTCTCACAATTTAGTGAAAATGTCTAAGAAATGCCTTCAGAAAGGAAACAGGACTATAATACATACGTAATATATAAAATTTATTATTTTATAACTACTAACTTTGAAATGTTAGCAGCACTAGCATAAACATATGAAATTTATTTAATATTATTTCCCCATATCTTTTGACACCTAGCTCTTCTATTGCTGTTTCTTTTCCACTTTTTCCTTCATGTCATTAAAATAATTTAAATACTTGAAAGCTCATTTCTTCCTCACTGATAACAAAAGGAAGCAAGAAGCTGAATGATCAGCTCTGAACAACTTCTAACATTCCTTTACATTTTGTATTTGCCATTAATTTGCCCTTAAGAATGGAAAGTGACTCAATCCTTGCTAAGATGTTACTTCAATCAGAAGCTGCTGGCTTACAGATACATCTTTAAATTATTTTAATGTTAAAGTAGTTTTATGGCTACAGTCAAGACCACAGAGTTTAAAGGAGAAGTACAATACAATCTCCATTAATATGTATTTGGTAATCATATTCTTTTTACTACATGAGTGCGAATAAAATGGCCAGCTCTAATAAAGTTATACTATTATCCCTAAAAAAAAGACAAATAAAAAAATAAAAAAATAAAAAAAACCCTCTGAGTCATCAATTACTTGCAAGAGAGATGGCTGGAGGCTTGGGGTTTTACCTGTGCTTAGGCTCCCATTATCCTGCTCAGCCAAAAAGGCACTAAACATGAAAGTGAACAATGACCTGTCAGGACAATATGATCTGAATATTGTTTGTTTCTGTATTCTGTTTGGAATGAAATTCATCAGAGAATAAAATACACTGTATGAGTACATCTGACTGTTGAAAATTATACAGAGAATGTTCAGAAGCCACTCAAAGAGTGAGGTTTTTTTTCCCCTTCATTTTCCATTCCTGTTGAAATGTAACTTTATTATTTATCCTCTAAACGTTCCAAGGATTTTTAATTTGAAAGTTTCTATCAACCCCAACTTTTAAAATTCTATTTTACAACCATTACAGATAAGCATATTTTGGAATACCCACAAATTCATCAACACTTGTAAAATCCAAATAATCAGTGGAAACATACAGCACGTTACTGTTGATGTACGATAGTGCTCTACTTTTATGCTTCAAATATAAGAGATTTACTGGAATCAGAAGTGAATTTGCATATTCATCAAGACAAATAAACACGTGGTGATTTAACTAGGAAACTGTTCTTTGGATGACAATTTAATCAGCACAGGTTGAAAGGTCCATCACTGCAGCATCCTGTTTCTGCTAAAATATTGATTGCGTTACTGATTTCAGTAATGCTTTATTTTACAGGGCACAAATAACCATGTAATTACTCTTTAATTGAATGGTAATTGCTTGCTGGCAATTATTTGTTAAGTTTTGGAGTTTAATTACCAGGTTATTTGTGTTTTGTGAAATAAAATGTTACGTATTAGTAGTCTTAAATATTTTCAGTATGAACGGTCTGTCACAAATAGAAAAGTAAGTTACGATGGTTTGAGTTTGACAAATAACACTCGAACACTACCGCTATTATTAAAAGAATCAGATGAATCTTTGAATGCTTTCCCTTTACAAAATTAACATTAGATGTAACATTTGTAAGATAAATGGACAAATACTGTACCACAGAAGCATGATTTCCTCTGGGGTCTAGTCCAGCATTTAGCATAATTTATCCTGATGTTTTGCTTTTCATTCTCTGGGCCTCTTTAGAGGAACTGAAATAGTATCCTAACCTCTTGAGAGCAAAGAATAAACCAAGTAGAAATATATTTCAACAGTACTTCATATTTCTGCAACTGAAGTGGATTACCACCAGCACATTATCTTAGCAGCCTATAAACTTTGTAGAGTTGGCAGTTAGCTAGATAACAAGGGAAAGCATTATGTCTCACGGTGTCAATGAGATATGACACATTCTGTGATATATTTATTCCAAGTTGTGATAGATGAGGTACCCAATACTTTGATCGTTAAAATCTGAATTTTACCATTACACTTTCATTTTTGTCATCAACTATTTATGAATTGGCAGTACGCAGTTTAGCAAGGACTGCCGATTTTGTTTTTTCAAAAGATACCCAGTTAATAAATTAATTATTGATTCCATGAGGCTTGAAATATGTGGCATAAAAATATGCTAGACTTGTGATTTAGAAAACTCTCATACATATCGCATGTTTCTTCAACAGCAATGTATTTTATTAGGCTTAGAGGAGAAATACAGAAGTAGTGTATCACACGTTGTGTAAATTACTCTGATAACAGCAGCAGTAACTGGTGCAAGTGCTTACAAATGAAAAACCACCTTAGTTGCTTTTCTGAAATTCAAACAGGAACCAGAAATTACAACTTTGCTTTCCTCAAAGATCGTGAAATACAGGCTAGTGATTGTGAAAGGTACTCTT